ATGTAACTTTTACACTGTCGTTGTGTAAATTTACCAAATTTTTTGACAGTGTGTGCATACTTACATTACATTAATTAAAAATTCTATTATTATCTTTGTTATATGTCTTTTATAATTGAATGAATAAAAGGAAAAATAAGCCAATTTTTCTCAGTCTGACAATACTTTGCATTTTGTTACAGCTTACAAGTTTACATTCAATCGCAGGTCAAACAAAACCATGTATTTGCTAACAACGCACAACTGAAAGCTTCTTAAGAGAAGGTAGAACTTTTGATATATATATACATACGAGTGATTATAATATAGTCATACATTATAACTACATAAAAATATAATTAACTGCAAATAGTTAAATAAGATAGTTAATCTTATTATTGTATTAAAAGTAGTATTAAGTACGTCAAAAATAACAATTTAAAAAATTTATAATGCACATATGTACATGTATGTAGTATGTGTTTTAGTGCATCATAAAAAAACAATTGTTTTATCAATTCTATTAACGAATGTTGACTTATATATCTTAGAAAAAAATGTTGATTTATCTATTTAAAATAAGAAAGTTATTACACCATAAATTGTAATGCAAAGACAATTTGTTAGCATCAAAGTTACGTAAATGACATCTATTCATTACAAAAATATTTTCTAAAAGAAAAAACGTATTAGAAACGAATTGCGTACTATTTATATGTTATTATATCACAAATATCTATACTATAGAATTAGTGTATTTATGTACAAGTGCATGTTTGATAATTTTACTTACTACACATTGCTCATTTGTTGCAACAGTAACATAACTAAAAAATCATGATTTTCCAGAAAACGAATTTAAATGTTTTAAATCGTCATAATTATATTATATATTATAATTTGGTAACAACATTATTTTGAAATGCCATATTAATATAATAATATATTGTAGTGTGGAACAAAAATAATATAATATCGTTTTAGCAGTTAACAGTACAAGCAAGAACTGTTCTTTCTATTACTCAAAAAGCATTTCGTATTATGTTACTGTTGCAGCAAATGTGTGACATATGCATATTATTTCTCATATATATACATATAATAAACGCTTTAAATGTGTTTTATAATTTTTACTTTCTACATACACTTATTGCATCTCTTTATGTTGTAAGAGCAATCATCAACTATTTTGCGCCAGGTATATTTGTTCCAATATTAAAAACAAATATCAGTATCAAAATTTTCTTATAATAGTAATACGATAATTTTGTATTCAAATGTATAAATTCAATAAAACTAAAATTTAATATTAATTAAGCAGTACAAAGTAAAATATATTTTATTGTTTTTGTCAATACATGATATACAATACATAATATGTCATTCAATACGTAATATACAATAACCACAATTGCCATGTAATCATAAATATTATACTAATAAAGAACTATGTCCACTGTAATATCTTCCATGAGAAAAATAAAAAATTCTATTCGTAATTAATTTTATGTATTATTTTAGTAACATTTAATGCTGCTTTTTAATCTTATTATAAATACTTTAGTAGAGCGACAGGTCCTATAGAAACTCACATATCAACGGATATGAGCAACGTTACAGTCAAAATGTTAATCAATTTGGTAAGCCACAAACTTCCAGAATGAAATAATATCATCATTCAAGTCAGTCGTCTCGACATTCAGTATTTCGGTGGATTTTGCATCGTCAGTATTTAGCAGTTCAACGATTGAAATCGGGAAATTATTGAGATTTTGTAGACCCGTATTTGAATGCTTCAGAATTTTTAACGACTCTCAGGTGAGTGAGACAACCACATAAGACATTTAATTTTGAATAATTAATATTTTGCGTAAAAAATTTATTTTAATAAGTATATCGATAAATAGAATTTATATGCAAGATTCATTGATTTTAATGAATAATAATAATATATATAATAATATATATATAATATGTTATAACGCTTTCTCAGACGCGTGACGCTACTTGATTATACCGCTTTTTGCTTTTCATTTCATAAGCAACTGTTGCAAACAATCCACAATTATAAGTAAGGATGTATTCTGAAAATAATCTCAGGAAAGATTTTAGCATATCTAAACACGAACTACGATCGCGTGTTTGTAAGAACGAAAGAGATCTTGACGAAAGTTTGCGAAATATGACCGAATATTTCATTCATGATATTGAAAGAATGTCGATGCGTGACTTGACGCTTCATTCACTTGTGAACGTAAGTAGAATTAAAAAAGTCAACGACTTATGTAACAAAAATATTGTAGGCAGACATTTTCGCATCACTCTCTTCATAAAGCAATTTTATTTTTTTCTTCAGACCGCAGAATTGCAAGACCGTAGAATTGCAAGTGGAATTGAGACCTTTTTAAATTTCAGAAAGTACGGTCTGCCGATTTTTATTATTCTGGGTCTTTTAGGAAACTGTTTATCTGCTATTGTACTCTTCCGTAAAAAGATGCGTTCTTTCTCGTCCAACATCTACTTGGGCGTGATAACAATAAGCGACATTGTTTATTCGACAACATTACTCATTAGATGGCTTGAATTAATGGATATAAAACCAAACAAAAATTATTTGTTTTGGTTTAAGACCTTTATAGTTTTTCTGAACTACATTTCCGAGTTCCTGAGTGTGTGGCTTATAGTAGCCTTTACCATCGAGCGATATATAGTGACGAAGTATCCGCTCCTACGTCGATCCTGGTGCACTGTCAAACGAGCAAAAATCGTAGTAATCACGCTGATGGGAATAGCGATTTTGCGCAGCATTCTATATATTCTTTTTCATATCATGATGAATAAAATAATAGAAGAAAAAAGGAAAACAAATATGTTTCATGCGTTCGAATTTATAAGATTTCACCATCAGAAAGGAATTATACGGATTAAAAATATTATAGATTCTATTATAATATTTACTCTACCTGCTCTCGTAATAGTAATCTGCAATACTCTAATAGGATACCACATTTACCAGCAAAATCGTGTTCGTAAAACCATGATTACAGCGTCCGATTCTTCTAATGAGAGGATTAAGATTTCTAATGATAAAATGCTTCAGCGTAAGATTACAAAGATGCTTATTCTTGTTTCGAGCACATTTGTTATCTTGAAATTACCTGAATATTTCTTTTTCTACATTTTTAATAACGTACGTATCAATAATTTATATTAAAATAATACCGACCATAATATATAGTTTATTTACTTTAAAAATGCATTCTCTCTGTGTATGACAAAAAAATATTAATTAATTTTTTTTCAAAATTTGATTTTATTTATTAATTTATAATGTTTAATTTTTACATTATATATGACATTATATAATGATTTTCTGACTTTAGATATCCGCGTAAGAAATTGGATGCGTTAAGATATGACACGTTATTATTAATAGTTATATAAAATTAAAATAATAATAATAATTTTTTCAGTTAATGAAATATGTCAATGTGCTTGTTATGATGCTAACATTCCAGTTGTTAGACATGGCACATTGCAGTATAAATTTTGTTCTCTACTGCGCAACGGGACAAATTTTTCGTAGAGAACTCATCCACTTATTTACGAAACGTACAAATATAAAAAATTAACAGAAATATCATGGAGAGGGACAATTATGAGTAACAAAATGATTAATATCGAATTATGCAGTTATAATAAGGTAATACGATAATTAAACACAGCGTTTTATACTGTAAAAAAATCGATATATTTACAAAAGTGGATGTAAAAATTACATGATAATTAGCAGAAATTTACTAAACGTATATTGCAAATTTACATAATTTTATAAATTTTATAGTATTTTCTTACAATTAGTACATTTCCATTATTTATCATGTAACTTTTACACCGTCGTTATGTAAATTTACCGAATTTTTTGACAGTGTGTGCATACTTACATTACATTAATTAAAAATTCTATTACTATCTTTGTTATATGACTTTTATAATTGAATGAATAAAAGGAAAAATAAGCCAATTTTTTTAATCTGACAATACTTTGCATTTTGTTACAGCTTACAAGTTTACATTCAATCGCACTTCAAACAAAACCATGTATTTACTAACAACGCACAACTGAAAGCTTTTCAAAAGAAGGTAGAACTCCTGATATACATATACATACGAGTGATTATAATATAGTCACACATTATAACTACACAAAAATATAATTAACTGCAAATAGTTAAATAAGATAGTTAATCTTATTATTGTATTAAAAGTGTTAAGAGTAAGTCAAAAATAACAATTTAAAAAATCTATAATACACATATATACATGTATGTAATATGTACAATGCTTTAGCGCATCATAAAAAAACGACAGTTTTATCAATTCTATTAACGAATGTTGACTTATATACCTTGGAAAAAAATGTTGATTTATTTATTTAAAATAGGAAAATTATCACACCATAAATTGTAATGCAAAAACAATTTGTGAGCATCAGAGTTCCGTAAATGACATCTATTCATTACAAGAATATTTTCTAAAAAGAAAAAAACGTATTAGAAACAAATTGCGTATTATTTATATGTTATTATATCACAAATATCTTTACTATAGAATTAGTGTATTTATGTACAAGTACATGTCTGATAATTTTACTTACTACACATTGCTCATTTGTTGCAACAGTAACATAACTAAAAAATCATGATTTTCCAGAAAACGAATTTAAATATTTTAAATCGTCATAATTATATTATATATTATAATTTGGTAACAACATTATTTTGAAATGCCGTATTAATATAATAATATATGTAGTGTGGAACAAAAATAATATAATATCGTTTTAGCAGTTAACAGTACAAGCAAGAACTGTTCTTTCTATTACTAAAAAATAGCATTTCGTATTATGCTATTGTTGCAGCAATGTGCGACATATGCATATTATTTCTCATATATATACATATAATAAGCGCTTTAAATGTGTTTTAGAATTTTTACTTTCTACATACACTTATTGCATCCCTTTATGTTGTAAGAGCAATCTTTATTTATTTTGAAATGCGCCAGGAATATTTGTTCCAACATTAAAAACAAATATCAGCATCAAAATGTTTTTAAAATAATACGATAATTTTGCATGCAAGTGTATAAATCTCAATAAAACTAGAATTTAATATTAATTAAGCAGTACAAAGTAAAATATTTTATTGTTTTGTCAATACATAATATACAATACATAATATGTTATTCAATACGTAACATACAATCACCACAGTTGCCATGTAATCATAAATATCATTACTAATAAAGAACTATGTCCGCTGTAATATCTTCCATGAGAAAAATAAAAAATTTTATTTTTAATCAATTTTATGTATTATTTTAATAACATTTAATGCTGCTTTTTAATCTTATTATAAATACTAATCTTATTATAAATTTTAGTAGAGCGACAGGTCCTATAGAAACTCACATATCAACGGATATGAGCAACGTTACAGTCAAAATGGTAATCAATTTGGTAAGCCACAAACTTCCAGAATGAAATAATATTATCATCCAAGTCAGTCGTCTCGACATTCAGTATTTCGGTGGATTTTGCATTGTCAGTATTTAGTAGTTCAACGATTGAATCAAGGAATTGCTGAGAATTTGTAGCCCTGCATGCGTAGACTTCAGAATTTTTGATTCCCAGGTGAGTGAGATAGTATGTAAGACACTTGTCCTTAAATATTTAATGTTATATGTAAAAACATTTATTTACCAAAATGATACCAAAATATATCAGTAAATAGAAACTATATACAAGATTTATTGATTTTAGTAATCAAAATAGTAAATATATATAATATTATAATGCTTTTTCAGATTTTTGTGCAAGACGCAACTTGATTATATCGCTTTTTACTTTTTATCTTATAAGAAATTGTTGCAAGCAATTCATATTTAATACGCAAGAATGGAAATTGTCAAAGATAATTTCGGCAATAATTATTCCAACTTATCTAAAGACGAATTACAATTTGATATTTGTAATAACGACAATGATCTTGAAGGAATTTACCGAAACATAACTGAAGAAGTAATCAAGTACTATAACGAACTCCTCGAAAATACTCGGCTTAGTATGCTTGTGAACACAAACAAAATTGAAAAATTCAAAGATTTCTGTAACGAAGAGATTTTCGACAAAAATTTTCCCATCGCTGATTTAATATATTTTCTCTACAGTCGTAGTATCTCAAAACATCTATTTATCAATACTGTTACAATTGAGATTTTCAATATCAAAAAGTATTATCTGCCGATCTTTATTATCCTGGGTCTTTTGGGCAACTGTTTGTCCGCTATTGTGTTCTTTCGTAAAAAGATGCGTTCCTTATCGTCCAGCGTCTACTTGGGCGTGCTAGCGATAAGCGATATGAGCTTTTCGCTGATGATATTCATACAATGGCTCAGAATAATGGAAATATTAGAAGTGCCTAATCTTCATTGGTTAAATTACTTTGAGATCTTCTTGGTCTATTTTTTCAAGTTCTTGAGTGCGTGGCTTATAACAGCCTTTACCATCGAGCGATATACAATGACAAAATATCCGCTTCTACGTCAATCCTGGTGCACTGTCAACCGGACGAAAATTGTAGTGATCACGCTGATAGGACTAGCGATTTTGTACAGCATTTTATATGTTTTCCTCGAGAATACTTGTACATCAATGAATATGAAAGACCAAGATATAAAGATCTTTCTTATATACAAATATGTATCATCAGAGTCTATCAAGGAAGATTCAAACATCTACGTGATGACTAATGCTGTTATAATGTTTACCTTACCTGCACTTATGATAATAATCTTCAATACTCTGATAGGATGGCACATTTACCAGCAATATCGTGTCAACAAAACCTTGATTACAACATCCGGTACTTCCAGTGAGAGTACTCAGATTTCTGAAAATGAAATGATTGAGAATAAGATCACAAAGATGCTTATTCTTGTTTCGAGTATGTTTGTAATCTTGAAATTACCTGCACATATCCATTTCTTTATTCGGTCTGACGTACGTATTAATAATTTAATAAAACAAAATAATTTACATATATTGAAGTAATACCGATTATAATATCGTTAATATATTATCGTTTTATTTTAAATCTGCATTCTGTATAAGATAAAAAAATATAAATTAATTTTTCTTAAAAATTTTAATTTTTTTTCAGTTTATATTACTTACAATTATTACATTATTAATGACACTAAATAACAATTTTTATATATTAAATATTCGTGTAAGAAAAAAATGCATGCTAAATATTACATCTTACTATTAACATATTGTACAACAAAAATTACCAATTTTTCAGATGTATAAATATGGCATTAATTGGACTGTTATGTCTGAAATATACGATTTATTAAACATGACGAAATACAGTATAAATTTTGTTCTTTACTGTGCAACAGAACAAAATTTTCGCAGAGAATTAATTCACACATTTACCAAATGCAACAGAAATATCATAAAGATGAACAATTATAAGTAACAGTATGATTTATACTGAATTATGCAGTTATAATAAGGTAATACCATAATTAAACATGATCTACATAATTATTTTATCTTAATCAAAAATTTTTTTACTATTTTTGTTATATGATTCTTATAATTAAATGTGTAAACAGTAAAGTAAGCCAAATTTTTCTTAATTTGATAATGCATTTCGTTACAGCTTGCAAATTTATGTCCAATCGCACTTCAAATAAAGCAATGTATTTGTTAACAACGCACAAACGTGAAAGTTTCTCAAGAGAAGGTAGAACTTCTGATATATACGAGAGATTATAATATATATTTTAACATAATAAAATATAATTAACTGCAAATAACTAAATAAGATAATTACATATATTATTGTATGAAGAATGTTAAAACTAAGTTAAAAATAAAATGTGAAAATTTATGATGCACATGTATGTAGGTAGTATGCACAAATATTTTAGCGCACTATAAAGGAACGACAGATTTATCAATTCTTTTAATGATTGTAAGCCTATATAATCTAAAAAAGTGTTGATTTAACTATTTGAAATAAAAGAGTTGTCACATCTCACGGATTGTAATACAAAAATAATTTGTTATTGTTAAAAAGCGAGTTATCCAATTCCTATTCGTATTAGCCAGTGGGTAAACATGCAATTTTGTATCGGATCATTGATCGGAAATGATTTCGATCATGAAAAGGTCGCAGAATACGTTTGTTAGGTTCGTTAATGTTATTAGAAGAGATCGAGCACATGTAAAAATTAAAAATACAAACGTACGTTTGCGCACATACACATTGCACACATGGTATTATTGCACACAAGAAAATCAATAGACACACGGTACTCAAATGTTTATAATTATAAGATTCCACGTGGGTTTGTAATTTTTCGCGCGAAGCGAGGTTCAGTTCACATCACCCTGTGCTTCAAATGCGAGACGAGGTTTATATCATAAAGTCATGTGTGCACTCTGTATGTGCGCAATAATGTCATGTGTGCAATTTGTATGTGCGCAATAATGTCATGTGTGCAAACGTACGTTTGTATTTTTAATTTTTACATGTGCGCAATAATACTTGTAGGCAATCGCTCTGTAGGCAATCGGGAATGTCGGCAATCGAAGCTATCGGCAAAAAATTGTAGGCAAACGACGCTGTTGGCAATCGAGAATGTAGACAAACGGAGCCCCCTCGTTATTATAAATACTTTAGTAGAGCAACAGGCTCCTGCAGAAATTCACATATCAACAAACATAAGCAACCTTACAATCAAAATATTAATCAGTTTGGTGAGCCACAAACTTCCAGAACGAAAAAAATATCGCCATCCAAGTCAGTCGTTTCGACATTCAGTCTTTTGCAATCGTTAGTGTCCAGCAGTTGAATGATTGAAGTCGGGGAATTGCTGAGAGTTTGTAACACTCCTATTCGTAGGCTTCAGAATTTTCAACGACTCTCTGGTAAGTCAAATAGTGCGCCAGACATTTTATTTAAAATGCTTAAAATGTATATATTATAAATCTGTGTATATTTTGTGTACTTTGTATATTTTATTTTTTTAATATTAAAAAAATTTTAATAAATGTATCGATAAATAAAATTTATACGCGAGATTCATTGATTTCAATGAATAATATATATAATAATGTTATAACGGTTTTTCAGACGCGTGACGCAACTTGATTATACCTCTTTCTGCTTCTCATCTCATAAGCAACTGTTGCAAACAATTCGTAATCATACGCAAGGATGTTTTTTGAAAATAATCTCGGCAAAGATTATTCCAACATATCTAAACACGAACTACGATTGCGTGTTTGTAACAACGAAAGAGATCTTGACGAAAGTTTACGTAGCATGGCTAAATATTTGATCAACTATAATATCGACAAAAGACGTATCATGTTGAATCATTCATTTGTGAACATAAGTAGAATTAAAAAATTCCAAGATTTATGTAACGAAGATATTGTAGGCAGATATTTTCCCATCACTTACGTCGTAAATGTATTTTATTCTTATTCTAAACTAATAAATGTAACTCTAGATGCTTTGGAGATCTTTTCAAACTTCAGAAAGTACAGTCTGCCGATTTTTATTATTCTCAGTCTTTTAGGAAACAGTTTTTCCGCCATTGTGCACTTTCGTAAAAACATGCGTTCTTTCTCCTCCAACATTTACTTGGGCGTACTAGCAATATGCGACATCATCTATTCGATGATATTACTTATTCACTGGCTCCTTTTATTTGATAATATAGAACAAAAAATAAATTATTCGAATTGGTTAAGTTCCTTCCTATACTTTTCGATCGTCATTTTCGAGTTCTTGAGTGTGTGGCTTATAGTAGCTTTTACCATCGAGCGATATATAGTGACGAAATATCCGTTTCTGCGTCGATCCTGGTGCACTGTCAAACGAGCAAAAATCGTAGTGGTCACGTTGATGGGACTAGCGGTTTTGCGCAGCATTGCACTGCATTTTACTTTTTTTATTTATGGAACCATACAGTATGAAACATTTAGTAAAAAAGAAATAAATATCTATGATGTATACAAACATCTTGACGATCAGATAAGCTTTACTCTGACAAGGGACATTATAGATTCTATTACAATATTTACTCTACCTGCTCTCGTGATAGTAATCTGCAATATTCTGATAGGATACCACATTTATCAGCAAAATCGTTTTCGCAAAACCTTGATTATAGCGTCCGAGTCTTCTAATAAGAGAATTCAAATTTCTAGTGATAAAATGCTTCAGCAGAAGATCACAAAAAAGCTTATTTTCGTTTCGAGCATATTTGTTATCTTGAAATTACCTGCATATTTTCTTTTTTACATTAAGAATTACGTAAGTATCAATAATTCATATTAAAGCAATATTGACCATAATATATAGTTTATTTACTTTAAAAATGCATTCTCTCTCTCTATATATAACAATAAAATATTAATTAATTTTTCTTTTAAAGTTTGAATTTTTTTAATGATTTAAAATGTTTAATTTTTGATAATATTATGAATAAAATTATATAATAATTTCTTTATATTAGATATCCGCGTAAGAAAATGGATGCATTAAAATACAATGCGTTATTATTAATAATTATATACAACAAAAATAACAATAATAATTTTTTCAGATACCTAAATATGTCAATATAGATGTTATAGCATTAATATGCGATTTATTAAACACAGCACATCACTGTATAAATTTTGTTCTCTACTGCGCAACGGGACAAACTTTTCGCAGAGAACTAATCCGCATGTTTACGAAACATACAAATATAAGAAATTAACAGAAATATCATGGAGATGTACAATCATAAGTAACAGTTTGATTGATATCCAATTATGCAGTCATAATAAGGTAATGCCATAATTAAACGAGTATTCCATTAAAAAATCGATAAATTTACAAGACTCGGTGTAAAAATTACATAACACAAATAAATAATAGAAATTTATTAAATATATATTGCAAATTTACATTATTTCATAAATTTTATACGATTTACTTAGTATATTTCCATTACTTATCATGTAATTTTTACACCTTTGGTGCGAAAATGTACCGAATTTTTTCACAGTATGCATATTTAGATTACATTAATCAAAAATTACTTTACTAACTTTGTTATATGACTTGTAATTAAATGAATAAAAGCAAAAATCAGCCAATTCTTTCTCAATTTTATAACACCTTTGTTACAGTTTGCAAGTTTACGTCTAATCGCACTTCAAACAAAAGAGTGTATTTGTCAACAACGAATAACTAAAAAGTTTTCAAGAGAAGCTAACACTCCTGATATACACTAGAGATTATAATATACATTTTAACATAATAAAAATATAATTAACTGCAAATAGCTAAATAAGATAGTTTAAGATATTATTGTATTAAAAGTATTAAAAGTAAGTCAAAAATAACAATTAAAATATCTTTAATGCACATATGTGTACATAGTATGTACAATTAATTTAGCACCGTAAGGAAAATGACAGTTTTATTAATTCTGTTAATAAATATTGGCCTATTGTAATCTGGAAAAGTGTTGATTTAATTATTTGAAATGGATGAATTGTCACATCACATAGATTGTAATGCAAAGATAATTTGTTATTGTTAGAAAACGGGTTATCCAATTTCTATTCGTATTAGCCAGTAGGTAAACATGCAATTTTGTACAAGTTAGTAGCGTTGGTGTGCGATCGGAAATGATTTCGATCATGGAAAGCTCGCAGAATACGTTTATTAGGTTCGTTAATGCTATTAGAAGAGATCGAGCACTCGAGAAGACAAGTCGTACATTAAAAAGTAAAATAATGTCGTGCAGAATTTTCATGCGCTTTCTACTTTACGAACGTTTCGATACGTGCCAATTTTTGCTGTTTATATTTTTCTCTTTGCTTATATTAATATTGAATACAATTTGTATTCGTATTTTTAAAAAAGTGCTAAATTATTTTGTTGCCACGCAAATTTATTAAAATTTATTTTATTAGTTATCATTAAAGTTACGTAAATAATATGTCTATTAATTACAAGAATCTTTTCTAAAAAGTAAGGAACGTATTAGAAACGAATTGCGTACTATTTATATGTTATTATGTCACAAATTCTATACTATATAATTAGTGTATTCATGTAGAAGTACATGTCTGATAATTTTACTTACTGCACATTGCTCATTTGCTGCAACAGTAACATAACTAAAAAAATCACGATTTTCCAGAAAACGAATTTAAATGTTTTAAATCGTCATAATTATATTATATATTATAATTTGGTAACAACATTATTTTGAAATGTCATATTGATATAACAATATATTGTAGTGTGGGACAAAAGTAATATAATATCGTTCTAGCGACAAATAATACAAGTAAGAACCATTCTTTTTATACCTTCCTGCATATATTCTGTTACTCAAAAATAGCATTTTGAATTATGTTATTGTTGCAGCAAATGAGCGACATATGCACATTATTTTTTATATATATACATACTCAGTAAACACAGAATATTGCAGCAATATTGCGGCAATGTTGTAACATTGTAGCAACATTGCAGCAACATGCCGCAATGTTGCTGCAATGTTCTGTGTTTACTGGGTATAATAAACACTTTAAAATGTGTTTTGTAATTTTTACTTTCTACATACACTTATTGCACACCTTTATGTTGTAAGAGCAATCATCATTTATTCTGAATACGCCAGGAATATTTGTTCCAACATTAAAAACAAATATCAGTATCAAAATTTTCCTAAAATAATACGATAATTTTGCATGCAAGTGTATAAATCTCAATAAAACTAAAATTTAATATTAATTAAGCAGTACAAAGTAAAATATTTTATTGTTTTTGTCAATACGTAACATACAATCGCCACAGTTGCCATGTAATCGTAAATATTAAATAATAAAGACCTATGTCCACTGTAATATTTTCCACGAGAAAAACAAAAAATTGTCTTTTTAATCAATTTTATGTATTATTTTTGTAACATTTATTGCTGTTTTTTAATGTTATTATAAATACTTTAGTAGAGTGACAGGTTTCTGTAGAAACTCAAATGTTAACGGATATGAGCAACTTTCCAGTCAAAATAATCATTTTGGTAAACCACAAACTTCCAGGAAAAAATAATATCATTATTCAAGTTAGTCGTCTCGACATTCAGTATTTCGATAGATTTTGCATCGTTAGTGTTTAGCAGTTCAACGATTGTAATCAAGGAATTACTGGGAATTTGTAGCCCTGTATACGTAGGCTTCAGAATTTTTGACTCCCAGGTGAGTGAGATAGCATGTAAGACATTTGACTTTAAATATTTAATGTTTCATGTAAAAAAATTTATTTTATATAATAAAATATATCAGTAAATAGAAACTATATACAAGATTTATTAATTTTAGTAAACAATATATATAACGTTATGTTTTTCCAGATTTTTGTGCAAGACGCAACTTGATTATATTGCTTTTTACATCTTATAATAACATTTTACATCTTATAATCTCTTATAAGCAATTGTTGCAAACGATTCATATTCAATACGCAAGAATGGAATTTGTTAAAAATAGTCTCGGCAAATATTATCCCAACATGTCTGAACTCGAATTACAGTTATATGATATTTGTGGCGACGACAGAAATCTTGACGGAATTGCCCGAGACATGATTGAAGAAATAATCAACCAACACAACAACTACATTCAAAGCACTCTGCTTAGTGCGCTTGTGGACACAAACAAAATTAAAAAATTCAATGATTTCTGCAACGAAGATATTTTCATCAAAGAATTTCCCATCACTAATTTTATATATTCACTCTATAATCTTTCTGACTCAAAAGATCTATTTATTAATACTCCTACAATTGAGACGTTCAGTATCAAAAAGTATTATCTGCCGATCTTTATTATTCTGGGTCTTTTGGGCAACTGTTTGTCAGCTATTGTGTTTTTTCGTAAAAAGATGCGTTCCTTCTCGTCCAGCATCTACTTGGGCGTGCTAGCGATAAGCGATATGAACTTATCGCTGATGATATTTATACAATGGTTCAGAATAATGGAAATATTAGAAGTACATAATTTGCATTGGTTAAATTACTCTAAGAATTTCTTGATTTATTTTTTAAAATTCTTGAGTGTGTGGCTTATAATAGCCTTTATCATCGAACGATATATAGTGACGAAATATCCGCTTCTACGTCAATCCTGGTGCACTGTTAAACGAGCAAAAATCGTAGTGATCACGCTGATAGGACTAACGATTTTGTACAGCCTCTTATATGTTTTCCTCGAGAGTACATTAATGAATACGAAAGACCAAGATATACAGATCTTGCATTTATTCAAACATGTATCATCAGAGTTTATGAAAAAAGATTATTCAGACATTTATGTGATGGCTAATGCTATTATAATGTTTACCCTACCTGCACTTATGATAATAATTTTCAATACTCTGATAGGATGGCAAATTTACCAACAAAATTGTGTCAATAAAACCTTTATTTCAACATCCGGTACTTCCAGTGAGAGGACTCAGATTTCTGAAAATAAAATGTCTGATTGTGAGAATAAGATCACAAAAATGCTTATTCTTGTTTCGAGCATGTTTGTAATCTTGAAATTACCTGCACATATTCGTTTCTTTATTGGATTTGACGTATGTACTAGTAATTTAATAAAACAAAATAATTTATACGTATTGAAATAATATCGATTATAATATATAATATTTTTACTCTAAATCTGCATTTTGTATAAAAAAATATTAATTAATTTGTCTTTAAAAATTTAAATTTTTTTATGCAATTTATACTACTTACAATTATCACATTATGAATGACACTAAATAACAATTTTTTTATATTTAAATATTTGCGTATAAGAAAAAAATGCATGCAAAAATATTACACCTTACTATTATTATATTGTATGTATAACAAAAATAATCAATTTTTTAGATGTATAAATATAGCATATTTTGGATCGTTATGTCTGAAATATGCAATTTATTAAACATGACAAAATATAGTGTAAATTTTGTTCTCTACTGCACAACAGAACAAAATTTTCGCACAGAATTAATTCGCACATTTACCAAACACAAATGTCAAAAGATACAGAAATATCATGAAGATGAACAATTATAAGTAACAGTATAATTGATACCAAATTATACAGTTATAATAAGGTATGATAATAACATATAATTAAACATGACGGTCTACATAATTATTTTACTTTAATCAAAAATTTTTTTACTATTTTTGTTATATGACTCTTATAATTACATTAATAAAAAGTAAAGTAAGCCAAATTTTTCTCAATTTGATAATATGATTTTGTTACAGCTTGCAAATTTATGTCCAATTGCACTACGAATAAAGCAATGTATTTGTTAACAACGCGCAAACGTGAAAGTTTCTCAAGAGAAGCTAGAATTCCTGATATATACAAGAGATTATAATATAGTCACTCATTACAACTTTAGAGAGAATATAGTTAATGACAAAAAGCTGAATAAGATAGTTACATGTATTATTGTATTAAAAATGTTAAAAATAATAATTAAAAGAATTTTATGATGCACATGTATGTAGATAGTATGTACAAATATTTTAGCACACTATAAAGAAAACGACAGGTTTAGCAATTCTATTAATAAATGTGAGCCAGTGTAACCTGAAAAAAGTTTTGATTTAACTATCTGAAATAAAAGAACGTCACATCACATAGATTGTAATGCAAAGATAATTTGTTATTGTTAGAAAGCGGGTAATCCAATTCATATTCGTATTAGCCAGTAGGAAAACATGTAATTAATGTTTTTAATAAATTTTATGTATTATTTTAGTAATATTTACTGCTGTTTTTTAATGTTTTTTAATGTATTACAAATATTTCAGTAGAGCGACAGGCTCCTGCAGAAATTCACATGTCAACGGATATGAGCAAGATTGCAGTCAAAATATTAATCATTTTGGTAAGCCACAAACTTTCAGGAAAAAGTATTATCGTCTTCCAAGTCAGGCGACATTCAGTTTTTTGCAATCGTTAGTGTTGAGCAGTTGAACAAATTAAAATCAGAAAATTACTGAGAGTTCGTAACCTCCGTATTCGTAGGCTTCAGAATTTTAAACGATTTTCAAGTAAGTGAGATAGTGCGTAATCCATTTTATTTTAAATGTTTAAGATACTGTATACATTTTGTATATTTCGTATATTTTATTTTTGTAATATTAAAAAAAATTATTTTAATAAATATATTGATAAATAAAATTTATATGCAAGACTCACTGATTTCAATAACTAATATATATAATAATGTTACAACGCTTTTTCAGACGCGTGACGCTACTTGATTATATCACTTTTTGCTTTGATCTTATAAGCATCTGTTGCAAACAATCTACATCTAACTAATCATATGCAAGGATGTTTTCTGAAAATAATCTTGGCAAAGATTATTTCAGCATATCTAAACACGAACTACGATTGCATGTTTGCAACAACGAAAGAGATTTTGACAAAAATTTGCGAAGTAAATTGGCTGAATTTTGTATCCAATATTATATCAACGAGAGACGAAACATGATGGATCATTCATTTGTGAATATAAGTAGAATTAAAAAATTCAAAGACTTATGTAACGAAGATATTGTAGGCAGACATTTTTCCATCACTGACATCATAAAAAAATTTAATTTTCTTTCTGAGCAAGAAGATCCATTTATAGATGCTTTGGAGACCTTATCA